CCGTTATCGTGACCTTTTGAGTAGGGAGGTTGTCTGTGTTAATCACGCACCTTGAGCTGGTACCCAGAGGTCAGGTACATGTGAAAATGGTGGCGCTGAATCGTCTGTTCTGAGACTAAGCCAGTCCTGGTCTGTAAAGCGACCTTTCATTTTTTTGTCCCTTTTTTCACCCCTTTTTTTTGAGGGGGGAGGAGGAAAGCAGGCCGTTCTGGACCACCACATCCTAACGGTGCTTTGGGCAAAGGAGCGGTTGTTTTTCCTTTCCCTGCCAGCAAATACCGCTGTAAAACTTTCAGCATTTTCTTGGGTGCCCCGTGGTGCCCCAGTGTCTCTGCTGGGCATGACAAAGCGCCAGCACGTGGCCGCTCGGCTCGGAGCGCAGGAGACCCGGGGTGCTGCGAGGAGCTGGGATCCGCTGCTGGAGCCCCAGCCGCTGCTCCGTCATGGTACGGGCACGAGGAGCCCCGCGGTTTGCTCTGGGTGAACCCACCTCCTCTTTCTGCGGTGGAGTGTCTTCTGCCAGAGCAAGGACTTTTGCCATTTTGCTTACATTCTACCTATTTTCTTTCTCCCATAGGATCGTTTTGTTTTTTTCTCAGCCTTCAGTTCAGCTTCAAGGATCCCAAGGGGTATTTTGTGCATTTGTTATATTGGAAAATAAATGCAGTGCAGATTAACCATTTTCACTTATTTTAAAAAGGTAAATCCTACAGACATTATTAAGGTCTGCTTAGTGCCAGATATGTTTCCCTGTATGTTACGAGTTGTAGCTCAAAGTGAATCATGCTCTAGATAAGCTCCTTTTTAATCTTTTCTCACCTTTTAGCCTGCATTTGAAAGCAATGGGAATAACTTGTAAGTTACCAGCCGAGCAGTGCAAATCTCATAGTTCGCAATGGACTACACCTGGTTTGTTTCAAGGTGTGAAGCAGAACTGCAGTTTTGAGGCGTGGGCTTTTGTACACTGCAGACTACTGATGTTTTTTGACCCTTTTCTGAGATTCTAATAAAACGGAACATTTCAAGCCTGTTGAAGAGTTGAAGGAAAACGAGTAACTGTGGCCTCGTAAAGGCTACAGGTCCTGTTAAACAATCAGTCGGTTGTGCAAATTGAAGGTAAAATTAAATACAGGCTGTGATGTCTCAATGGAATGATTTCAGTTTTGGGGTTTAATATTTAAACTTTAAGGGATGGCCAAAGACTCATTTTTGAAGACTAAAGCATGGATTGTGCCTTTTATGCTGTTATCCTCGATTCAGATTCATTAACTGATCCAGTTTTCCACATTACTGTGTGGTGCTTGCATAGAGATCACTGGGAAGGGATGAGAGGAGGATGTGTTGAGGTCTTTATGCTGGTGTGAGGAGCTGCCCTTGCACACAGCTACAGTCTTGGTCCGGTGTCATTCTGGCTGAAGAGAACTCGGATGCTGGGAGAATCGGATCTATAACAAAGCAACTTGTGAAAGCAAAAGTCTCTTAACACAGCGCTTTTAAGAAAATCCTTTCTCATTACAGCTTATTTGCGATTTCTACAAATTGCATAAAAAACTACATTGGCAAAATAATTTTCTCACTAGAACGAATGCCCATCTTAGCCAGCCAAGCCAGGAGAGAGCGTCTGGGAGCACAGATCAGTCTGAATTTGTGCTGCCATCAAGAGGGAAGTCACACTTGCTGATTTATGTGGGAAATAATCCAGTAAAATCCAGTAAAACAGACTGGCCGGCTCCACTGACCGGCTTCCTGACCCACGGGCCGTTGCAGCAGGTGTGTGAGCGCTGCAAAGGATGGAGCAGGAGCTGAGCTCAAAATAAGCTCTGAGGGTATAAATAACTAACCTGACTGTTAGCATTAAGTTCTGCTGTGAAAGAAACATTACCAGCACTCAGTATCTACCCTGCGCCCTCTCTTTCACTCTGCAGAAATTGACATGCTGCTTTTTCCCTTGTCCTCTAGCAGCAGCTTTAAAGCAGCCTCATGCAAGGTGCTGGGGGAGACGTTTTCTCAGATGTAAAAAAAAAAATAAAAATAAAAATACAGGGATTTTATCAAAAGCTATCAAAACCTCAGGGTCGTGAGACTGCTGAAGAGCCAGATGTTAACTTACAATGGGATCACCCTTGTTTCTAATAAAAAGTTAATCCAGATGTGCACTTTTTCTTTTTTTTTCACTCAGTTGTAAGGCCTGCTCCATGCTTTGTGAGGTGGAAACATCTGCAGGGACTTTGCTGCTTGCTGCAGAAGCAGTAATCTCTTACGGTGCTTTTCAAACCTGTCCATAATTAAGGCAACGCAAACTAAGGAATTTATTGCAGGTGATTCCTAGATCCTAGGTCTCTGCAACAGGGAGAGAAATTTAAGGTCAGTAAGGCAGACGGTAAGTTAAAACACGAGTCTCACTACTGTACATACAGTGAGAGGGAAGCGATGAGCATGTCGTTTCTGTCTGTTGTGCAACTGTGTTCTGAGTATTTCCAGAGCACACAAACTGCAGGGACCTTTGAAAGGCTTTCCTCCTCCTTCTGGGCTGGTTTCCAGTGGGAGGTCCCGGAGTGAAGATGCTGGAGGGGTGTTTGTCAGTGCAGAGGTGTTGCAGGTTACCTGTGACAGTGAGACAGTTCCTTAAGTGCTGCTGAAAACAAATACTGATTTGATTTGTCTCTTGAGAGCACTCCCTGTGCAATTCAGGCAACTGTCTTAACTCCCAGATGTGGATAAAATACTAGCATGGTAAAAAAAGGCATTTAAAAAAAAACTATTTCCATCTCTGGTTAATACACATCCTAGCCCCAGACCTTTATGGATAATGGGAAGGGCTGGAGCGGAGAAATAAAAAGAGCTTTCTAGCTGGGAGTGGTCTAGGGTTGTGTTAGATGTGGGAATTGGGAGAAGGAGCCTTGCACTAGAAGAGGCGAAGGAGGAGTTTTATTTCATCTGTATGTTTAACAAGGAGCTAAGATCGGTGTCAAAGGGGTCCTGCAGTCACTTTGCACCCTCCCCCCCCTAAAAAAAAAAAAAAGAGGGAAGCTGAGGGGGTTTTTGTGTTCTATGGTAGAGTTGCTCTGAAAGGATCTGAAAAATTGGAAGTATATCGATGGCCTGAGAAGGCACACCAGCGAAAACAGTGGTGCGGTGAGGCGGTTTGCGTTCAGTACGGCCGTAAATCAGTGTGTGTGCTGCCCAGTTAGCCTCTAGATGTTTCTCAGCACAAGAACCACCGAAACCGTGCTGGAACGGTTTGCACGAAACAGATCTTATAAGAACTGGGTGATTTGTGAATTAGTAAAATATGTGTGATTTGTTAAAACAAACTTTTGGACCAGAGCACAGGCTTGGACCCTGAGAGGGAGAACTTTTCCTCCTGGAACGCCTTACTCCCGAACAGCCTAGATGACAAGGTCTGCTGCTGAGGGAGATAGCGGGAGGACGGCAGGGACTGCAAGAAACGCATCTTTACAGTGATACAGATTAATTTTCAACAAATACCTTGTAGTTAAACATTTTGAAGTAGCCTGGGCAGCCTGGAGAATGTGCTAGAAACAGTAACCCCGAGGAATGTGAATATTGGCAATTGTAATGTGGTAGCAATATGTTAAAAGAGGAAAAAATAGTGTTTATAGTCTGGTGAGTCTCTATAATAATGTTTCAAGCAACTGTGCTGCCCTTGATGTGGGTCTCCTCCTTATTTTTAACTTTCTCTGCAAACCTGTGCTGCAGGAAGGTGCAGCAGCGTGGTGATGAGTTCCTGCTGGGCAGCAGTGGAACCAGGACAGTGCCCGGGTGAGATGGTCCATAAAGGTGAACTGCCTGGATTTGGGGGAGCAAACAGAAGTTCTCAGAGAGGAAAAAAAACAGGGGGGGGGAAAGGAAGGAGGGGGGAGAAGACTGAAACGAAAAGAAAGCCTTCTCCCTTAAGGTTATCCATACATATCCAATCAGTAAAATGCATACATTTGGAATAGTTTCTATGTAGTATAACATTTTCTTGCAAGGCAGCCACATGTAGTCGCATTATTTCTGTAGAAAAGCACCTTGACTTCCTTCTTGAAAGGGATATTAGCCACTTAGGTTCTAGTGTAGATCTAATGAAGGAGGAGGTTTAGTAGTTGAAGGAAACAGCATTTTTCAGAAAGACTGCTAGTATTAAAATGAAATTAAATCAGTGCTGAGGTTTTTCTCATGTTTAAAAGCGGTTTCTTGGAGGTTCAAACTGTTTGTGTAGGTTTCTGGAGGACTTTTGTCTCCTTGAAGGTGCAGGCTAGACATCTACGTTAATGCAGACAAAGGAGCAATGTTTGAAGCTCAGGAAGAAGCTTAACTGGGCAGAAGCCACTGTAGCAAAGAGCCAAATGGTGCTATGTGAAAAATTATCCCTCTTGGGATCTGTAAAAGGGGAAGTTACATGAAACACAGCAGAATGTCCCTGCTGAGCAGGGCAGTGCCTTTCCCCAGTAGCAGGGGGTTTGCTTCTTGGCAAATAAAGTGTTGCTCTAAAGAAACTGTGAGTAAACTTCAGCTCAGAAAATGGATTAATTGGTAATGTTGCTCAAAAAAATAATAGTTGGAGCCTAACTTGGAAGGCCCTGCAGCTGCTCATTTTTAAATCCTTTAATGCTGTTGTAGAGGCTTCTGGCCTGAGCTGGGTGCTGCTGTGGGTGCTTGCACGGGGCAGGAAGCGGATTCCAGCTCAGGCTTGTGAGCTTATCCTTAAAAGTGAAGCTTTGAGGGAAAACCACTGATGCGATGGCAAGATCGGAATGATTCTGAGAAGAGACAAAGGAGGTAGAGAACTTGAACATACCCGCTGAGCAGAGGCACCTAAAAATACAGTGCTCATGTCGCCTTGATGATGTGATGCTGTGCTTTGGAAGAACAAGAGGAAAGAGTGGGTAGATGTGTTCAGAAGGGGAAGAAACGGAGTGACTCAGGCTTGGAGAGCAAAATACATCTGGCGTGAATTGAGGGTACTAAAACAGCACACGGTATCAGTGGGAACGATGGAAAAGAGGAGGGCAGAAGTGACAAAAAGCTATGAGCTGGGGAAATTGGAGTGAGTCTGCACAGGAGCTTTTGGAGGAAGTTATGAAAACTGTTCTTACGTTAGAGAACCAACGAGGATGATCTGAGAGAGCAAGAGAGGGTAATGATAGATCCGGAAATCAATTACCAAGAGGAAGGGATTAAAGTCAAGGGTCTGAGTCGTTCTAGTGGATATTCTGTATTACTAGATCCATTAGATGGTAAAAATTGCAAGCCAATTTGAAGACGTATAATTTAAAATGACATTTTAAAATAGGCTGCAGAGCGTTTGACACTCGTCCTGAAGTGCTCCAGCGTGGCCAGTGCTGACACCGGGGCCAGATCGCAGCACAGCGCTGCTCCGCCTGGCATGTCGTGTGCAGGTGTGCGTGTGAGGGTCTGCGGACAAGGGTTGTGGTGGGACAAATGCCTCAGCAAAGGGGGGCAGGCAGAATCGGGGCACCCCTGTGTGCCACAAAGAGCGCTTCTGCTGCTGCCCTCCTCTGCCTGCATTTTCCCGGGTTGCACAGGAGCTGTACTGGAGCTTGCCAGAGTTCATCTGAATTCGTTTTAAACCTTGACTCTTTTTTTTTTTTTTTTCCCCCCCCCGCCTCTGGTTACTTAAAAGTGGAAGATTATTTTCATTTGAAAAGATTTAAAAGTGATCTCTTCATTTGTTTCCAAACTGATTTCAGTACGAAAACGGTAATATTTATCCTAAAAGCTCAAGTATAAAAAGTATTAAAATTTAATTTAATAATAGGAATTTAATAAAGAGGACCCTATAAGAACTCGGTCCGTCTTTTTTGATTTCGGTCCGTCTTTTTTGATTTCGGTCCGTCGCGCCCTCTCTCACATTGATGACGTTGTCTTTATGAAATCTTAGAGCAGAGGTAGAAAGAGCAAATTTCTTGCAGCTGCTGTCAATTAAGAATGATCTGCTCAGCCACTTCTCCCTTGTCATCATGCATCAGAAAATAGGCTTTCTGCATCTCTGTTATCCCAGAGAGGTACATTTGATATTAATGTTTAAGCCTTCCTCCATGCTTCTGTTAAAATAATGCAAATTCTGTAGGCTAAACAAGCAATAACTTGAAATCCAGAAGTGGAAAATACCTCTTCTGCAGTGACTGCCGTCACTGCCTTTCTCATGTGCCACCTTTGACAAAGTCTCTTAGTGGATTCACTAAAGATGTTTTATTTTTCTTAAACAGAAGAGGAGGAGGGTGATGGTACAGGTGATGAAGTGGTGTGAGAAGGCAGGTGCAAAGTAATGTGGAGAGGAAATATGGAAGAGAAGGGTTTAAACAAACAGCTGGCTGCTAGAGAGCAAAAAATTTGGTTGAACCAGGTGGGAAAAACTGTTGAGTGTTCGCCTGTCTGTGCCTTAAGTGCACCTCAGCTTGGGTTTTTTTGCCCTTCAGCACCTGCATTCTCCCAGTGCCTGTCCTGTCCATGCGGGAGGAGCAGGTGTGGGTGGTACTGATGGCACTGCGGGGATGTGAAGACTTTGAGGCACGAGTAGGCTTTATTTACTGCTCCGTAAATCCTCATCCATCACAACTTATCTGTGTTATCTTACGAACCAGACCGCTGATATTCTTTGAGTGTTTATCCATTGTGGGCTTAGCTAGAAGGTAGCAGGTAAGACAGGTATTAGGACCTGAGCTGGGTGTTAGCTGAAACTGGGTCACTTGCCTGGCGGCCGCTGAGCGGTGCGGAGAGCGGCGAGGGCTGCGTGTGCAGGGTGGATGGACAGGGCAGCCGGGACCAGGCTGAGCACGGCTGCCTGCCGGGGCGCGTCTGCTGCTGCTGGGGAGTATTTCACGTGACAGGCTTCTCACATAAATGGGGGAAGAACTGTGTGCGAGGAAAATGTGTTTGGGCATGTGAGGAGGGAAAATGATGCCCTGCCTGCCCGTCTAGTACCTCTTCTGGGAAGTGTGTACATGCCGTGGACTCGCCAGCTCAGAGCAGTTAACGTGGAGAGGATGCATGCTTGGTTTTGTTAGGATGGCTCCTAAACCAGGGGCAGAGGTGGTTGTGAACTGTGTTCGTAGACACCTGCTTCGAAGGTGGCCTCTCCCCTTGTCTGGACACAACCAGGGTGACTCCCTGGAGAAGGTGCACGAACATGCAGCTTCTCGTCAGAGCTTTCTTGTCTCCTTTCATGGCCTTCTTTGGTCAGAAATCTTGCTCTTTGCTGTGAGACAATACAGCAAATTCCTACGTCCCAGCCAGGATGCTCTTCCTACACAGAAGGTTGAGTACAAATCAAAAGCAGCTCCAAAACAAACGTGTTGACAACAGACTTGCAGTGCTGCTTCTTGGTGCAAACAGAAGGTTGTTTTATTTTATGGATTAATGTCATTGCAGTGTATACTTTTTTAATAAAGGCTGCTTGACCTTCTGCAAGCATCACTGAAATAAGAAAAACAAATTTTTTACCGCTGTGCTTATCTTGTGATGAGTATCTCAATTCCGGTTAAGCCAGAAATCCTTGAACTGCATTTTGAAGTTTTCAGAACTGTATAATATAAATTTACAGTGTAAAAATAGGAATGTTTATTCAAAACAAGGGGCTTATTTGCAGAAGTTGCTGAATCTGTAAACTGCTTGTAAGTGTTATTTTGTCTTGCAAGATACAGAAAGAAGTAGCAAATATGTCAACGGCAGGAAATTTATCTTAAGGGCTTGAGGTTTGCAAACCTAGGTGTTGTCAGCAAGTTCATCTGGTTCAGGTAGGGCTTTCTCTAGGTTGCTGAAAATCTGTTAATGTTTTAGGAAACTTTCGAGACTGCATATTGCCTAGCAAGAATTCCATGCTTTATAAGGGTGCCTCTGTAAGATAAGTCTGCTTGATCTGTCGGGGGATGAGGTCGTCTTTGCACAGAAGCGAGCAGGGAGCTTTGAAATCTCCTCAGGTCAAAGCTGGTGGGCGGCTTTTGGTAAAGGAGAGCATGCCAGGGCTGGGGGCTGCACCGTGGCTGCGGGAGCATCCCGCTTCTCCGGAGCAACCTCTGGCCAGTCCAGACGAAGGCAGACAAAGAGCAGCAGCTCCCGTCTGACAGTCTCACGCCGTCTGCAGGTCAGCCAGCTGCTTCTTGCAGCAGTAGTCACCTTGGTGCACCCCAGGGCTGCAGAAGCCTGACACGTGGCTTGTGTAGGCTGGGTGCTCGACTGTAACCTCCAGATCGTTTTCTGTACTGCTGCTTCCCCGTGTTGTGTTTTGACTTCAAGTGAAGTACCTTACACAGTCTCTTTTGAAGGGTATTGCACCCCTATTTTAAGACCTCCATCCCAGTTTTTGAAGACTGATGTGAATTTTAACTCCATCTCCATACATTTTGTCCCTGCCAGCTTTGTGTTACCTGCAGATTCAATTATTCTTCATTACGATTCCTAAATGTTTGGGCTTTCACTTTTGAACCATAATATGGCAAATAGGCTTATCTGATTTAATTGCATTTGATATCACTTAAAATGTGCTTTTTCCCCCCTCAAGGTTTATCCCAAATTTATTAAACTGGGTTATCTGAATTATGACAACTTCAGTAAATTGGCTTGTTCAAGGGACAAAGCTTTTTTGGCTCTGTGGATATCCTGAATGGGTCCAAAAAACAGTTCACAAAAATGAAAAGTTCACATCTGCTGCATCACAGATTACATAATGAAACTTTCATCCTCAAAGCGTTAGATTTTTATTCTCAGGTTAGTTGCAGTACCACTTTTGAAATCTTTTAGCAGAGAAATATTCCCACACTGTTCTTACATCCTCTTCATCCGAATGAATGAATGCCTGAGGAACGGTCATCTAGTTTTCCTGAAGTCTGTGAAAAATATATCCTAAAAATTTGAGAATAAAAGTCGTTTCTAGACCTTTTCTTGGCTCTTGCAAAGAGTGCCAGCTCCCTCTACATCCACCCCGCACTTGCAGCCCTTGCTGCTCTTCCCCCTGCTGCCTGGCCACTCAGCAGCCTTCGAGCAAGTGACCCAGTTGTTTCTTTGCATGAGCAAAGCACAAAAAACCCTTTTGCCATCCAGCTGCTTTATTCTGGATGTAAAATTAGCTTGCAGTAAATCTAAAAAGCTATTCTTCTGAAATTTGCTTGAATTTTTAATGGAATATTAAATACAGCAAGTTTTGCAAAAAGAAAAAAAAAAAAAAAGAAAACCTGTTGCAGAGGCTGCAGTAGCTGGTTCCGTCATGACCTTTGGTGTCTTTCTAAGGGAGCTTGTATGTCTGTGGGGGAAGCTTTAAAACATCGTTTTCCCTTTTGAGTTTGCTCCTGGGAGTAAACATTGTCAGTGATAGCCTTCACAGGCATGTGCCTGTAAGGGAGCAGGCTTGATTTTCTCCATACCACAGCAGGGTCAGGAAAATAAAGATTGGCTCAAAATCCACTTGAGGATGAAGTCCAGCAAGTTTCCTGCTTCCCCCTGCTTGTCTCTTTTATTTATTGAGGGCCGGCCTTAGACTCATCACAGTATATATTTGTTTGTTTTCTGAAAAAGTATACCAGCCTAAAAAACATTACCTCCTCTACCACTTAAATTAGATTTAAATTGTCAAATTCATACACACACAGCTGCTGTGTTTGTAGTAAAACCAGTACACTGAAACATTCAGTCAGTTGCAGTTAACTCTGTCAAATTTTTATAGATTAATTTTGGTGTCACTTGGGCCCCTATGGTGTGTTTTTAGGTTGATATTTACTGTCTAGTAACCTTCATAATTATTAAGAGGTGAAGATACATATAAAGTCCAAGACTGTGTTCGGAAGCTCTCCTGATTTATTTCCATTTTTACGTAAAACACAGGTTGCTCTTTTAGGCATACTGGTACTTTAAGCTGAAGTAAAAGGATATGGTGTTGAGGTGACTTGTCCTTCATATCCAGTCGCTGTCCCAGGCTGTTGTTAAACTCTGCCAGTACATATGATTAAAAATATAAACTCTAATGGGATTGTTTTGTAATAGCACTTTGAAGACTGGGCAGTCTCACAAGCAAAATACTGGGAGAAAGATTTCTACTGAATACTGTTCTTACATATCTGTCTTTGTCAGTTGTATTTAATATTCCATTAAAGATTCAGGCAAATTTCAGAACAGCTTTTTAGATTAACTGCGAGCTAATTTTACGTTCAGAATAAGTAGTTGGATGGCCGTCATTGTGCTTTGGTTTTGTTTTGTATAGTGGCACATCAAAAAAATGTGCTTATGCCAAATAAATATTTAACGATTTCTCATGTTTACATTTTTAAGCTCCAGCAGAATGCGGCACGCTTTGTGCAGAGTGATTAGTTCGGACAAGGAACTCAGTTTTGTTCCATCTGACTAAACTTACAAAAAACTGTTTACATCTCACGCTTATGTAAATAACAGCATCTAGAGCTGAATAAAGGAAAAAAAATATAGCACCTGTTGGGACGGAAATCTGTTATAGTTTAAGAAGTTTTACTGTTGTCATTTGGGTGCTGCTGTTTACTTTTCTTTCCCTTCTTGGAGCTGACTCCCATACGTGCTTCATTAGGACCAAATAAATCTCAGCGCGGGGGCAGCGTCCGATGTAGCCCTTGCTCTCCTCTGTTTTGTTAGCTGGGCTTCAGCCCGCTGGATTGTGCTCAGGCGCTTGCATTTAGAGTGGAGCGCGTGCGTATGAGTTCCACTAAATGGGAAAGGATGACTTGCTACTAGAAAGCTTTGCTGAGTTAGAGGCTGAGCGACTGCAGGTTTTCCAGTGCTGTCACTGCTGTGACAGACGCGTGGCCAGCGCTGCACTCGGAGGGAGAATGGTGCCAAAGCAGCTTTTTTTTAGTGATGCGACTGAAATAGTTTAAGAACTGTCAAAATACCGTTTCTCATTTTAAATTATGGTCCTAGCTAATTGCAGGCAAAGGAGAGTAGACTGAAGTTCTTACGTGAACTTTTTTTTTCCTTTTAGCTTTTCGACATTCCTGATTTTGATCTGCTAAGTGAATTGGATGTATTTGACACCCTCTTGTCAGATCTTGACACAGATGATCCTCAGGAAAGCGTTTGCTGTTTCCAGCAAAAGGACTGCAGGTAAGTTTTTACTTAACGTTTTCTTTCATGGCCAATTTAAGTAGATTTTGCTGCATGCTCAAAGCCACAACCACCTTTACCAGAACCGTGCTCCTAGTGATGAGCTGCAGTAGAAAATTAATTCCCAGCAATAGCATGATTTCTTGCTAATTATAAATACTCGTTTTTACACAGAATTCCTTTGCAGTTTGCTCTTTAAAAAGTGACCTTTTGAATACTTTCTCACCTCTCCATGCTATTTTTAAGAGCATTTGGAGCCCGGCATCGCCCAAGCTAGACCAGATCAATTCTACAACCATATGTAAATGTGATTATGGCTGGCAGCGTGCTCGCCCGTTGGCCAGGATGGATAGCTGTCGCCTTTTAAGAACCACACAAATCACTGACCTTATCCATAGTTGCACAACTGTGGTGTTTCAGAACCCAAATGTCATACAGCAGCACCTTGTCCTGCTTCTTTGCGTCAAAGTGAACAGTGTTGACGTCTCCTGAAAAGACAGGAAAATACCCTGCTTTTACATTAAGTCTTCTCCAGCTTCTAGAAGATGACATTCAGTGTAGTATCAACGTAGTCCAGCGGTGTGGAAGAACTGTTTGTCCCATTTGATTAACTAGGACATCACAGACGGAGTTTATGCATTGATCTGGGAAGCTGATAGCAAACAGGCAGGTGGACGTGTCCCCAGAAGGCACCGCTCAGGTTCTTGGTTGCTGGTGAGCTTCTGCCCTCAATTCCAGAACAGAGATTTCTCTAGATTGTGGGTTTGGGGAGCAATAAGCAAATGAGCTGGTTTAATGGCTCTTTGCCTAACAGGAGAACTCTCAGGATCCTCATCCTCCTCTTTCTCCCCTTACGCCAGGTCTCTTCTACTACAATACAACCTTTCAGTGAACTCATTTAACTGATGGGGCTGGGAAAAAGCCGGATGGTTTAGTGGCAGACCTGGGTGAGCTTGAGGCAGCGTGGGCTTTTTTTGGTGTTTGGGGTTTTTTTTTATTAAACTGTATCTGAAAGGGGCCAGACAGCTGGCAGAAAGCAAGTGGCAGGAGCGCATGCCTGGGCTGAGAGGTCCTGCCTCCGCTCCTGGCTTGCCTCTCCCCAGCATCTCTGACGACACTCTCTCCTTTAAGAAGAAGCACCTTCAGTTAAATTAAACTGTATTTTTTTTTTAAGTAAGATTAAATTTAAGCTGCTTTAGCTCTGAATAATTCCGGATAGCATGTCTAGGTAGTTTTAATGTGGTTTCACTAATCTTCCTCAAAATCTAATTCAGACTGGCTTTCGTGAGGTCCTTTGTAGCCAGCTCTCAGTTTGTGCAAAGTGCCTGCGAAGTTAATGCAAAACTTGTGTGGTGTTACACGCAGAGACATTTAAAAGAAAATAAAACCAGAAAGGACCTCTGCAGGGTGTCTAGTCTTATTTTGTGCTCCAGGCAGGTCTAGCTTCAAAACTGGCTTGGATTTTGAAAATGCCCAGCCTGAGGAGGGGGATTACACATCATCTCAGCCAGTGCTCGACTGTTCCTGTGGTGAAAAAGCACTTAAAAGCAGTGATGTTCAAGGAAACAGGCAACGGATAAAAGCTGTGCTTTAGATGGCAGGCAGGACCTTTATTTCTCTTGTAAATCAAGTAATTTCAGAACAAGGGATCAATACCTAGCTCTAGGCTATGGACAAAACTAGCCGTATCATCTTGAAACATTGGTCAGGGGCTTGGTCCAGCTTCGACTTTCAGAAATGATGTGGTAAATTGAGACATGAGGTTCTTGACCCTTCTTGGAGGCTTGATGGGGAGTTTGAGGGTGGCTGAAGTGTTTCCGGGTGAGCTAAAGCCCGTGTCTTCTCTCTGGCCAGAGCCGTTGCAATGGCAGGTGCCACGCAGCGTACCCGTTCAGAGCAGTGACGGGCCAGTTGAAACGCAGCTGCTGTCAGTCAGTCACGGTGCCCTCCTGGCCGGACGCGGCGTGCTGCGGCTGTGCGTTTGGGGCCGGGCTCCTCCAGAACGGCTGCCTGAAGCCCCACGGCCGCCCTGACGCTGTCGAGGAGACCTCACCGTCCTTCCCCTCACTCAGCGTTTGCTCCGAGCGCCTCTTCTCTAACACGAATCCTCCGAGAAGTGGGCGGGCGGGCCCCACGCGCTCCGCGGCGCTGCCAGAGGCACAGAGCGGCCGACGACGCGGGTGGACGTCTTTGGAAGCCAGACGAGGGGAGGCCAGGCCGTGGGCCATGCGCAGGTCTCCAGGGGAGGCTGGCTTGCCTGCCCAGGGCCACCACTGGCCACCTCAGGAGAGATGTGCCCAGCTGGGAGCCAGGCGGCTGGTGAAGGTCTCTGGGTTGGGGCCCACCGGCCGTCCCACGGCCGGCGGAACTGCCCAGGTTGTCCCAGCAGTGAGTGCCACGCTGAGCACAGTACACCCACAGGTAAAACTGCCACCACAGGGACATGCAGACACAATCTGGAATATATTTATGCCCCAGCGAGCTGTCAGGACTGGAAAAAAAGGTTTTTCTTCACCTGTTGAGGCAGGTTTAAAAGTTCCTGATACAACCATACTTTGAACTGTGAACTAGTGCTTTGGGCTCAACCTTTTTCAATGTTTTTACAGTTCTGCAGACTCACAACTCAGTTGCCCGAAACTTGCACAGGATGAAGTTGCACCGTGTGCAACGAGCGATTCCCGTCCAACGAGCGATTCCCGTCCAACGAGCGATTCCCGTCCAACGGCCGAAGCATGCACCACCCAGCCAGAAAACTCACAGAGTGGAAGTGCAGAGGTTACTAAACCTGGTGGACCAATTTTAGGTATGGTGGAGTTCTGTTTTTTACTAGATGCATGTAAGTTTTTAAACTCAGCAATTCAGTTTTTCAGCATCTTCTTGGGAAAGTCGGTGTGCTCATGTTATAGATTTGCCATCTGCTCGTGCTGCATCCAGACGTTAGCCTTTTTTTTTTTTTTCCCCAGTAAAGCCTGCCAGTCGTTCCTCATTCCCATACTTCTTGACAGGTTGAAATTCTGACCACTGAGATGGGGGATTTTACCACCCCATGCACTGAAATTCTCTGGTTCGCTTACCGAACACTTTGTTTTAGTGACGGCACTTTTGAGGACCTAAATACTGTGCTAAACCATTAGCCTTAATTTGTAATCTAAATAAATTAACATTGAGGAAGTCTCATATACAAATCCATAGGCTTAATAGGAAAAACTTTGCTTTTCACACTTGCTACTGCTGATTAAAATTCATGTCTTGGACATCAGTAAGCAACTGCTAGCACAAGACCGTGGTTTGTTTTCAAAAAAAAAAAAAAAGTTGAAGCAAGGCAATGCTGGCACAGGAACATGGATTTTCCACAAAACAAAAAGCATTTAGGTGGTATTGTTCGTTATTAAACTGTTTGGCGCACCACTTTCCTGAGGAGCCTGGAGCTGGCTGCGGAGAGGTGCAAGGTGAGCATCCCCTTTGTAGGCACTCACGGGACGGGCAGCAGCGGCCCTGCCTGCATCGAGGAGCTGAACCATCTCCCTTAGGTGAAACAGGCTCTCACCTGGCTTCGGCCACAGTCCTCCACAGCACGTGGTTTAAACAGAGCTTAAGTGAATACTGGACATTAAATGGGGTCTGAAGATTGACAGTAGGACAGTGAGGATATTGGGGGGCACTTTTGTTTCAGGCGGGCATCGAGGAAGCTCGGGTAGGAGAGGTTGCGGGTAGGTCACAGGGGTGATTCTGCCACGTGCTTCATGCAGTACAAATTAGGAACTGGGGTTATTAATCATGTCAATGCTTGCTTATGTTCTCCGATATTTTTTTTTTAAGGTGATTCAGAGACTTCAGGAGGTGTTTTGTTTGAATAGCTGGTTACACCATCGGCTGTGTATCTACACAGAAATTAACTTGTCAAAACGTTTGTACTGCATTCAATTTAAAACTGCTAAGTTCATACTGTTAAAAAAATTTAACTGTTTGCCTGATTAGTTTTCTTTTTTAAAACCTGAAGGGCAGAGTCCAAGGAACATGCAGGGTGGAGCTGCAAAAGGGAAACAAATTTCTGCTACTCCTGGACAAGCAGTACCTAAGCACAGCTCAGTCTCTGTGTGTCTGATGGAAGAGAGCAAGTTCCAGATTTTCTTATCAAACTCATTAAGTCTCCCTATTGTACCAAACGTAGAGCCGTTGGTTTCACTCCTGCTTTGTGTCACATCCTCTGTGGGATTGCAAAGAGTACTTACTACAGTCATTTTCTGTAATATGCTGATACTTTTTTTTTTCCCCTGCCTGATAGCAGAGCAAGGAGCTCAGGTCTTTTTCTGATGCTTCACCAGAAAGCTGAGGTTCAGCTCAGGTGGTGTTATTTTTAAATTCTGGATGCATCACTTGCTAACACTTGCATTGTTCCTCCAGTTGAGAAACACATATTTTTATAGAGTTTGATCCAAAATGCTGTGCAGACCATGTTTTAAAACTTCCCTGGCCTTGGTCCCAAGAACTGTTAAATTTTAGGTGTGTTGTTGCTGACAAACATGGGTTTATTTAATGAGGGGAGAACATTTCGGCTTAAAATGTGGTGTAACTTACAGTAGCTCAGAAGGGGTTAGCACCAGTTTCTTTAAGCAGTGATGCAATTAATTGTGTAGACTTGTTCTCCCTAGGCATTAATGGGGGATCCTTTAGTTACATGGAAGACCTTTGCATCACACTTTGGAGTACTCTCCTAAAAAAAAACAAACAAAAAAAAAACAACAAAAAAAAAACCCCACCCTGATCTTGAGTATTCAGTGCTTGAGCTTATAAACTAGAAAAATTATAAAAGCACCATCTATATAAATAATCAGTAAAGCCTTCCTATCGGTATCACCATTTTTTTAATACAGAATATTTCTTTGTTAATACCTAGCTCGATGCATCTTTGCTACCTGTATTCTTATAGATCTTGAAATGCTAACTCAGTAATTTTCAATGTTTATCTGGCTTGGTAAATTCTTTTAAATCAGCTTGATAGTCTTTGCCAATCTCCCACATTTTTTTTTCCTTTTTTTTTCTTTTTACCCTTATTTCAGGAAGAAAAGCACAGGTCAGAAAAGCACCACAAAAAAATCCAGATCCTGTTCCTGTGAGGAAGAGATCAAGACCCATGAACCCTGCAGATGTAATACGGAAGAGTCGCACACAGAATGCAGTTTGTCAGCGACCATACAGGGATAGGGTGATTCATTTGCTGGCACTGAAGAGTTACAAGAAACCAGAGTTGCTCGCTCGCTTGCAGAAAGATGGTGTCAACCAAAAGGACAAGAATTGCCTTGGAATGGTCCTTCATCAGGTGAGAGCATAGAGTTTGTGCCAGAAATTTTTCCCTCCTACTGTTCTTTTAATCATAATTTTGAGCTGTGTCACTTTGGTGTTTAAATTAGAAAATAATAAACAACTTATTGCTCCTTAAGTTTTTCAATAAACTTTATGCAGATGCCCCAAACTGCAGGTCAGTGTGAGGAAAGGAAAGACAGATGAAAAAATTCTTGGGGAGTGGTTTTGTTTTTCCAGAATGGCAGGCAATATTAACTATTTCTAGCTTTGTTTCTCCTTAATGCCTTATTTTTTCCTTTTTTTTTTTTACTTGGACTGCTTAATTGAGAGAAGCTGACCATGCATTCTCTCAGTTGTGTGAAAGTGCTTCATGTTTTTTGTGATAAGTTTATGTGGAGATAAATTTAGTAATTGCGATCGCATAGGTTATCATTTCATTTGAACGTGGCTGTAAGTGGTACTTGACTTCCCTTGGGATCTGTTGGAATTGTAACCAAGGGAAGGGTGTCCTCGCCAAATCGTAAATGCTAAAGGTGGTGGTCTGGTTTTGAGCATATTATTTCTTTGCTATCATGTGGACTGTGTCTTTACCTTCCTTGAAACCTGTTTTTATTCATTAGCTTTTCCAGTGCTCCTTTAAGTTCCACTTGTATTTCTTTATCATATCCATCAAAATCATTGGTAAGTCTATAATGTTGTATAGGCTGCGTGTTCGAGAGCATTGCTTATTAGTTTGCTACTAAAACAGTTCAGAAGAGGCTTCTTAAAGCCTTACTTTTCAAATACTACCTGTTCCCGTAGACTGTGGCTGATTTATGTGTGTATTAATGTGTAAAGTAGGAATATTTCCTATTTATCTAGAAAAAAAGTGTTTTGAAACCTATTAAAGTGAGCAAAATTCAACATTTATACAGCTTTGCTTGATCCTACACTGAAAACTCATTCCTTGAATAAGTTGAGTGTTACTGCTTTGTTTCCCCAGTGCGATGGTAGTTAGGGGTTTTTTTCACCCTGAAGACATACACAGTTTAACAGCAGCCATGTTCCTAGATACAAATTGAAGCAGTCAATCTCTATTTTAAGTTGGTTCTAATAAAATTCTAAAAGCTCAGCTCCCTAGAGCATAAAACATGCAAAAATTTTCTCTTGTCCCGTTATGCTTGGCAGTGTTTAAGGAGACTTTCCTGGAGTCTTATTTCCTGTGTGTGGTGTAAACCTCAAGGAACCAGTACCTCGAGGTACTGGTTTGCATTCAGAAATGGTCGTGCTAGCAGCACTACACCCTGAAAAGCCTTGCTCATGTTTTTCTGAGCCCTGTAATGAGGGCATGAGGGGGGTTTTTTTGTACAAATCTAAAATCAGCAGCCTGAAGTTGCTAAGATCTACTAGGCACAGAATCGCTTCTCTTAGAATACGGCTTTAGTCGTTTTTAACAAGTGAATTGTTGTTTAAGGCCATTTTTGTTACTTTTAATTTTTTTTCTTTTAAGATGGAGACAGACAGGCATGGGCACAGTCATGAATTTTCAGTATTTACCATGTTTTGGAGGAAAAAAATAGGCTGAACTGAAAAGTGGTGGTGGTGTGTTGATGAGTTATTCAGCATTTGGCATCAGGCAAATAGAGACTGTTTGGGGGCTTTTCCCTGAAACTGAACAGGTGCCAGGTGATGAAGTACAAACCAGCACTTCAGGTGTCACTGACCTCAAGGCGGTTTTAGCTCATTTTAAGCTTTTGAGTATAGTTTGCATTTTTCTCGAGGAAGGCATAAGCCCATTTTAATTTCAAAGGTACAGAGCGAGGCATGCTCACAGCCCTCTTGTCACAATACCGAACAGGCGTCTGCAGAATGACGAGCACATCTGGGCCTGCACACCTCTCCTTAAACATTTCAGCACTGAAAAATGTTTTCAAAATATAACTTGTTAGATATAAGTACAGCTACTTCTTTTCCCAATTGGTACAACTTTGATATGGCTTAAAACTAATGGGATAGATGAAGAATCCATCACTGTACCATAAGTAGTTGTTTAGTGCTAGTTAGGTTATTGTGTACAACAGTTTCTTGTGGCTCAGGCACTTGAGAAGGAAAATCAGTTCTGTTTTTATCAAGACAAATGATAACAGACTGTGTTCATTAATGTGATGATGGAAAATGTGTTGTTGCAAGCACAGTCTGTGCCCTGCCGTGGCAGTATATCCGTGTACAACCAAAGAACAGTAGGTGTCCTCTTGAAGTTCAACAAATCTGGATTTGTATGTGAAGATAGTGTTCTTCAGTTCTTTAAAAATAAATAAATAAAAAAATCCAAGCAAAACCCTACAAAACGAAAACAAAAACCCAAGCCCAAAACGAAATAAAAAACCCCCCACACAAAATAGGCCTCTTGGCATATTTCATGCAGTGAAGTTTAAAGTTTTTGGCATAATTTGCATTCATTCCCAGTGCTGTATTAAAAACAAACAAACCAGATACGTGGTGCAGAGAGAGTTTTTCATAGACTACGCTTCATACCTGCTGGCAGCAGTTCAGGATTTTCTTACCTTCAAATTTCTACATCCCAAATTGACCACATTTTTAAAAATTGGTGCTCGTTACATGAGAGCTACTTTGATCTTCACATCTAAAAAGCCTGGAAAACTGGTGTGTGATTTTGTTTTCAGCTTTTATTTTACTTTGCAGTACCAATCTTATTTCTGTAGTGTGCATTTAGGTATAATGAACATTTATTTTCTTAAATGTCTGCCTATAGGTAGCCAACCTGAATACAAAGGATAATTCTTACAGTCTGAAGGATTATCTGTTTAAAGACATTCAAAAAGATTGGCCTGGATACAGTGAAATAGATAAACAGTCATTGGAGTTAATACTCTCTAGGTAAGTTCAGTCCCTAGGGGAAGGAAAATTGCCATTTAAAAATTTTTTTTCTGGGAAATGAATGTCTGTCCTCCCTATAATGAAAGAACTATGACTTAGACATTTTTTGCCTTGTAACCTGGAATGTTGGGTCATCCTTACAGAAAATTAAATTCACCTGAGGGTGCCACCAGCTCCAGTCATTCAGCATCTTCTTCAACTTCTGGTAAAACTGGTCCATCAGATGCTCAGGTATTTTGTACTTTTTTAATCATTATTTAGAGTGTATTAAGATTTATCACATTTTATAAAAGTTGATGTGAAGCACTAACATTGTCTTTAACACATGAAAAACTGAAGCATTTATCTCTCTAATTGAACTTTTTTTCTTTATAAAGTTGGCTGCACTGTCAAGGTCTGCAAAAAAACCTTAGTCACATAGCTTTAAGGGCTGCTGTATTTAGTGTTCTGTATTTCAGAATGTTAAAATACTTAGAAAAATAAAAAAAAAATCCTGTCTATGCAGTATTTTGTGAATATGCATAGATCTCTGACAGAGAGTACCCCTGCTGTGTTTGAGCAGCCTAAATTGGCCTAAATTCTAACTGCCCATCCATAGCACATCAGCCTTGCAGAAGCATTAACTTGCTGCAGAGATTAAGTCGTTTGCCAAGCTTCTTGATTAACCATCATTGTTCCACAACCTTGTACTTTCTGGTTAAATACTTAAAGCTGTTTTGTACTGCCACATAACATGTTCATCCTGGTGCATGGGAAGGTCTTCTGGAGACAAGACATGTGTGTGCTTTTGTTGCAGGGTTGCATGTGTTTAATGTTCTTTGCAGCATGGCAGCTATAATAGATAAAATACACACAAATATCCTTGTGCTACTGTTTAAATGTAAAACTTAGGCAAGTCTAGAATAAGGATGAGCAGTAGTAGTGATCCCCTTGGAGGAATTATTTTTTAATCCCCTATAGGCATCATTTTGATGCAGGGTAGCCCAGCTGTGAAGAGACAGGTCTGAATCAGCAGGTAGCAGCAGGACTTGCAAGGCGTGTGTCCCGCTTTCCTGTTAACACAAGAGGACCGTGCCAACCCTTTTAGAAGAGGCTTGGAAAGCTCTGCATTACTTTAAGGAAAAGTTTACTACTTTCTGTGACTAGGACTGTGCTGCAGTGCCTGCACTGTGCAGCGATAAAATGGGAATTACAGAAAGCCTTTCACCACTGAGATTATTTACATTCACACGGGGGAGGGAGGGCACACCTCTGCGTCTCCCTAACTTTCTTCCAGAGCATAAAACGGTGCAGGTCCCAGGGACCTCTTCCCACCTGCCCCCCTACCCACAGAACCTGGATTTATTTCAACAGGGTGGCACAGAGCCGTGCCAGGGACTCCCGGCCCAAGCTGCTGCCTGTACAGCGACGGGAGCAGCTGGGCTTGCTGGGAGAGGATGTGAACCAGCTGAAAAACAGCTGGGACAGCAACTGCAGCAAAACCAGGGGGGTTACACATTCTTATCAGCTCTGCACTTCAGAGGAGCGTGCTGCTGCCTGCTTCTCGGGGCCGCTGCAGTAAATCCAGTGGCTGTGTGACAGCGAAAGCTGACTCTTCACCTGGTGTGTCCCTGAGGAAATCCGTGCCTCGGGGACACCGACCTGAGCTCTTCTTTTTGGTGAAGCCTCCGATAGAGCTGCTGAAGAGAGTGTCTTTATTCCCAAAGCCTTTTAGGGGTAGATTTGAAGAACGACCTGCTAAATCGTAATTTTTAGAAACCAAGAATGAAATAGACCGTGTATTTAGCTGCAGTAAGTACTTCGTGGTTTGACAGCAGTTTTCGGGTAAGGAAGATGTGTATTCAACAATTGCCAGTTCAGAAATGTCACTTTTCCAAAACGGGAGCAAAACTTAGTTCTACTGTTTTTTTAATTTTGGGTGGGTTTTTTTGTTTGTTTTGTGTTTTTTATTTATTTATTATCACAGAAACGGGGTCTGAATTCCTCTTTTATCGATCCCCTGAACAAAAAGAGGAGGATCTCCCGCCTGGGCAGCGGCATGCCATCCCCGCTCAGAGACCGCCTGTCCGCCTTCAGGGAGAAAGCCGCTGCCACCCCTCTGCCACCCCTCCGCCCCCCCAACATCTCCATCCCCACTCCTCACCAGTTGACTTGGATGTACCTTCACGCTTCCAACCCTCCAAAAACTGCCAGCACCACCTCGCCTAGGACCCCTGAGGGGCAGGGGATGCAAAACCTGCCCACGGACACCTTCACTCCAAGTAGCAGTAAGGCCTGTGAGGACCAGCAACAAAAGTGTACCTCTTGCAGTTCTTCGGGGATCCCAGAGCCTGCTAGGATGCGGGCAAAACCTCGCAAATCCAGAGGCAAGAAGTCGCGCAAACTGCCCAAGAAGGCAAAAGGGAACAATAAAGGCAAAGTGCAGGATGCTGTGAGTGTGAGCACTGAGGAGAAAGACCTCAGAAAAACTGCGGAGCTGAGTGCATCCTTCTCTTCGCATTCAGGTGAAGGTATTAATACGCTGCTTTTCTTAACTACTGTGTGGGTAACCGTGGTGAAAAGAGACCTGTAAAACTAGGGACTAGAAACGCAGATGATCTGTCTTTTCACTTAGTGTAGGTTAAGTGCTTTGCGATTATCCACTCTTTATGGTCATGAAGAATCCACATTGTTTTTCTGCTGTTGTTCTTTTTAAACTGACATTTACAAGGTAATACAACAACAAAAAGCAGAAGTAGATAAGCTTCCAGCAGAACATCAATTAGTTCATTTGTAAGAATTCTCCCTCTGTAGTACAAAAATCGTTAGAAAAAATCTGAAATGGATTGCTGTAGGGCAGAAACTGGTTAAAAGGAAGAGCTAGGAACTAGAAAAACACAAGGAATGGATTTTTTTTTTTTCCCCTTGATTTCTCACTGAAACTCTGCCTGCTTTTTTTCCATGAGCCAGTTTTAAAGTCTGCGAGGTGCAGATAAAAACCTGTCACACGTTTATGGCATGCTAGCTTACTGAAACAAATGGATCAGACCTAAACGCATTTCATCGTGTATCACAATGCAAGGTGCAGCTTCTGCCTTTTCATGGGGAGCCTAAAACCTCCATGAACTGGCATGTGGTTTGCTGGAGTTTTGGTTTGCACTCTGCTGTGAGCTCCCTCCTCTCTCTCTTAGCTGCAGAATTTATTGCTTCAAAAGGTGTAGGAACGCACTGAAAATGGCATTGAAAGGATTAACAGAAACGCTTGGAGAACACTTGACGACATTCTGAACAGCTAGGGAAGGAAAAACTTGCGCTGCATTTCAAGTTGGTGCATGGACTGAGCCATGTCACCTGAATTTTTGGAAGTGAAGCACTTCCAATGAAACTCTTCACCTAAGTTGTATTGTACATACAGCGACTCTTAATATTAATTACTGTTTGCATTTCTCACAAATTTTGTCCCCACTTTTACACCACTTTTTCTACTCCTGCTGTGTTGCATATGATATTAAGAGTGTAGAGTAGAACATGACATGATAGTTCTTTTTTTCCCCCGTGACCTAAAGCTCGGATAGCTCAGAGGTTGGCAAGAACAGTTGAGCTTTAGCAGAAATACTGAGTTTAAACAGTGGCAGTGCAAGAAAATAAAGAATATATAGGACTCTGTGTTTAACTGCAAAACCCCAGGTGAAAAGCAGAGAGAGATTACCAAGATATACTGAGTGTTCCTTCATGTGCCAGCTAACTTTTCCTTATGGCAGCTATTTTTCTTATTTATCAAAGAGATAGGAGGCTCCTGAAATATTCCTTTTAAAAGAGGGACTAGAGATTAAGTGTACCATGCTCTCATAATGCCATTTAAAAGAGCAAAAGAGCAATTTACAAGTGCAAATAACTTTCAAACCCAGTTTTGCCACGTTAATGAGGAGCAAGTCTTTGTTGCAGGTTATTGAAGCCTGAATGCCAGTAACCCATATACAATGCTCTTGACTTTCCTGCTTAGAGTGCTGAAATCAAATCTAACTTTGGATGTCTGTAATCGGCAGGGAAGGAGGGATCAAAACATGGCATGAAAAGAGCTTCAGCTTTCTGCTTTATTTCTCGCTGTAACCTGGACGTTGAGATACATCTATATCTACATAGATACAGATACATCTCAAGCTGTTGTCTTTTGTGCAGCTACATCTGTTGCTGCATAATTTGAATTGCTGTGCAGATGCCACATCGTGTCTTCAAATAAGAAAAGCTGACCTCGGGTTAATACTGTGGTAGCACAGAACCTCTAGAATAAAGTGGCCGTGCCCTCTTTCTAAACCCCGGTACTGCCTACGATGGAGAAGGTCATGTGAGCCCTATTATTAACTTACAGGGCTTATTCCAAGTAATTTACTGTGAGAATAAAACTCTAAAGGATTTTTTTCAAGCCCATTAAGCTGGCATTGTTTGGCTATATTAAAAATCTGTTTATTGCAAGTGTCAAAGTTCTGCTTTTCTGTAGGAGCTGAAGCAACTTGCACTGCCTCCACAAGTTCTCCTTCAGCAAGTGAACAACCAGACTACTTGATGTGAGTAAAATAACAATTAACTTTCTTGCCACTCATTGAAGCAGATGAAAAATCACCTATTAAAACTCTCCTTTAGCTACAAAATTGAGAATTTACCAAAATGTCATTTTAGAATAATGACAGGTTCCTTCAAGTCACCCAGCTGCCTTATTCAGCCTTAAGCCTTATTCAGCTGCCTGCAAGTTTTAAACTGTGAGGTTGTCTCTTGATTATTGGGGGCGGGGAAAGAAGTGAGAAGAAAAAATTATATATATACTTTAGAAGAAGGCTTAAAACATTTAATTTCATTCTTCTTCAAGAACACTATAAGAAAGGAACATGAACCTGTGCCATTTTCTTTTTAGAGGTAAGGCAAAACAGGAGGAAAGCTGAATGCTAGAATACAGAAATTTGAACATCTTTCCTGTGTTTTCACTGCTTAGTGCATCTAAGGTGGAAAGTTGGGGGGGAAGGTAGCAGACTTTAAAGTCCAGAGCTACAAAGCCTATATGTGACAGGAGTTAACCATCAAAGTTATTTCTAAGGCTTTGATGTGAAATGGTCACTGGCTAACTTGAAGCTACAGCAAAATATCCGATTTCACCACAGAATTGCAGACCAAAGAGCTAGAGAAAACAGAAGAACCTTGATTCAGATTTTAACTTTTGCCTGCTTAATTTTGACTACAAAGCAAGATAAAAATGCATTAAACTTGCATGTGAAAGGTAACACACCTGCAGTGACTGCCATGTTGCAGTCTGTAAAATTACAGAAAGACTTCCTGGGTAAATTTAATTTTGGCTCCTGGACAAGTTGTCAAACATCAGATTGACATTTTGAAAAAGTTAAAATTTACCCGCTCTATTAAAAAGTTTTTTTATCCGTGGCAAGTGTTAAAGAACTTTCTTTAAAATGAAATACCTCTTAATACCAGAATCGTTTGGTTGACTAAATACTTTTTTACAGGAGAAAAACTTTTCTATCAGGAGGATTTTTCTTTACTGTTCCAAACCAGGGAAATAGCTTCTGCAAATGTCCAGTGTCTGGACTTTTCCACCACTGTTTTATTGGTAGCCTTTTTGTAAAAATGTGAAAGTTGAAGGAGGCTGCAGTGGAATAATTGTAGAAAAACTGGTCAGTGCCACCTCAGTTTCTACTAAAATATGCCTTTTGGGAGGAAGATGGGCACAGTGGAGAGCAGTCTAAAGCTCTTCCCTGGGTTGGAAGGATGAGTTTGAGGAGGTTTTGAGGGCCCTTCGGTGCTCAGAGCTGGGGTGAGCAGCCCGAGAGGTAAAGCCAGGACGAGCCCGACACGTCCGAGCAGCGCAGCTGCCCAGCAGCAGTGGCGCTGAGCCCGGTCTGACGTCTGCGGCGCAGGAGGGGAGGGAGGACTGTGTCTGTTAAAATGCTGCCGGTTGCCAAGTTCAGCAGCTTCTGTCCGAGGAGCAACATCAGCAAGGGGGGGGGTGAGGCCCCCCCGTAGCACTTGAACTTGGGTTCATCTTCTGTCTGTGCTGAAGCAGAGGGCACGGCAGTGCTGCGCGTCTCACTCCATTAAGTGATGCTCCACGGAAAGACTGAAATAAGTCAGGCCCTGCAGGGAAGCAGTTTAGTGCTTCACGTGTGAGGCTGAGAACTCAAACCGATGTTTAATTCCCAGCCTCTGCTGGGTGACAATGAACAGATCCAGCTCCCTGCTGTCTGCTTCCCAGTCAGCTGAGGGCAGGGATACTGAGTAGAAAGCTTATTTGATGTAATCTAGTATTAAAGGTGGATGCCAATAGGAACTGTTAAAAGTGTTTTTTTTAAAAAAAAAAACCAAAACCCTAAAGAACCAAACCCACCAAACAAAAAAAAAAAAACCAACCCTCCTTCATTCAAGATTTCATGAAGTTGGTTTATCTCTTACTGGGATTAAAAACTTTAACACTTCCCTGTGAAGGGAGCAACATCTGGAGCAATCTCACAGATAATCTACTGGTCTGGAAAAAAATTAGGCTGTGCTGTTTCAGATTAATCACTCCAGAAAGGCTGAAACCTGAGAGCACCTACAGCCTGATGCAGTTTAAAGGACTTTGGTAGTTTATTTCCAATTTCTCTTCCTGTCTAACTGCTGTTTAATTCATGAGTATAATCACAGCTTCAGCATAAAGATACTTTCCATCTTAGTGTAAAGATTATGGGAGTAAAGGAACTAAAGGTTGGGGGGTTTTTTTAAGCAAGAGGTAGATGAACCAAACAGATTCACCTTCCTCTGTCCTATTTTGATTTCTTCCCTCTGCACACACTTACACTGCAAGTGCTCTGCTGGACTCTTCTCCTGAGCTCAGCTCTTGCTGTGGGATGTAACTTTGCACAGGCTTCACAAGTACTTCCCAGAATGTTGGAGGGCATCTTTAGTTTTGTTGTAAAAAAACATCCAGCACTCTAATCAGGTGCCTCTGGCCTGGGCTTACATCACTGAGCAAAGTTGTCTGCATTGGTACAGGCTTTCAACTTTAACAAGTTTTACTGCTTGTTAAAATTAATCTACAGGTGGTTTGAAGGATTTGTCCCCGTGTGGAGGTGCCTGTGTCACCCAAAGTGAACTGGGTCTTTAGGCTAGGAGGACCAGAAGCACTGGTGTGGGAAATCATATCGACTTGCATTCCTGCTTCATCTTGGATTTGCATAATGACCTTGTTAAATCTGCTCCTGGTGATTTGAGGGAGAGGGGAATGAAGAAAGTTTCAGTTGCATCAGTGGCTTTAAGCATTTAAGGGTTTTTCCCTCCTTAAGAGGTGATGTGATGGTTTGGGGTCTTTGTTTCAGACCTCTCTGTTTTTGTTGCTGTATTGCAGGTGCCTTAGTTGAATGGACAGCAGTGGAACTGGAGTTCCCTAAAATAATTAATATTTTATTAAGTATGCTTGGCTGTTAGGGTTTTGGCTACATTTTTGCCCATCTAGCTGCATCCAACACTGTAAGTGTAGCCCCTTCCAACAATGTAATTGAAATGAATTTTCAAAACTTAAATGTTTTCTGAGTATGCTGCAACTTTCTTATGCACCTTGTTAATAAAAACTCTAAAAAAAGTAAAATATGAGCAAACAGCATTCACAGAAACATGGTAGATTTCTGTAATTACCTAAACACATGCCCTCGGAGCAGGTGTGCTTACTTGAAGTAGTCAGTCACG